TCAAAGCTTATTGAGGGCATTTTTTGATGTATTCAAGTGACTTTAGAATACATTGCAATTATATCCTTGGAACTCCACCCATGGTTTACTATGAAGTTACATAAGGGAAAACAATTAAGCTAAAGGCAAACACTCCAAAAGCTAAGAGTTAGATGGTAATTGTTAGAAAAAAGCTCTCTACTAATGATGAGCTGTACGTAAATCCTTTGTTATATCCCGTGAGGAGCAGTATGCATAGAAGTGAACAGCTTGTAAAGTTAGGGTAAGAGCGGGAAATAAAAGAAGTGCTTGTATGAAATATTTTTTTCGATTTTTATCCATTCGTTTGAGTATATCAAATCTTTGGCATCAAATCAAAAATATCATAATAATTATTATTATTATTTTCACGACTGAAATACACATTTTCATGCATAATTTTAAGACACCAGAGTGTTATAACTATAAATATCAAATTTTGGGTGTTAGATATGTACATGCATAAGAATTGTGTGATATGTATGTAAATTTTCCTAATAACTATTTATGAGAGGGTGAGGAAGGACGTTAAAGGACATATGAGAAGGAAATTTTCATAGGGCTTGATTCTATAATTAAATGTTTCTCGTGAAATCATCTACTTCACATAATGGCCATAATTTTAGTTGAGCAGACATTGTGAGTATAATGACAAATATATTGTGTTAATAGAGGATCTCTTTCTATTTACATTTTATTCATTATGCCCATGCAATGGCACATCCACTTTTGTCAAAGTGATGCTTGATTACATTGCACATATATTGCAATGTAATTTTAAGTTCATCATTAACAACAGGATTGACTAATGATACAAAATAAAAATAGCCTGTAATTTTGGATTTAATTCTCTTTTTTTCCCTTTTTTTTTAGTTTTGTTATTTTTAGATATAGATGTGCGACATGTCTTACTTTGATTTTGCAGATTTCTGTGTTTACTTTTGAAACTTATCTCATACGTCTCCTGGTGTTTTTTTTTTTTTTTGGACGTATTTACTTCATGTTTCCCATTTTGATTATGCACCTTCCTCATTTTAAATGTGTATACTGCTCATGATTATTTTTACTATTAGCACTACTTTTATTAATGTCTTTTCCTATTACAGAATGCCAAGGTGATGTTGATTACATTGCACATATATTGCAATGTAATTTTAAGATCATCATTGACAACATGCTCGCCTAATGATACAAAATAAAAGTAACATGTAAGTTTGGATTAATGTTCTTTTTTCTTTTCTTTTACAGTTTTGTTGTTTTTAGACATAGATGTGTGAAATGTGTCTTACTTTGATTTTGCATCTTTCTATGTTCATACTTCTTGTGATGTTTTTTTTTTTGGGCGTATTTACTACATGTTTTCCATTTTGGTTATACACCATCTTCCTTTTACATGTGTATAATACTCATGATTATTTTTACTATAAGTACAACCTTACTAATGTCTTTTTTCTATTACCGAATGCCACAGGTGATGATGACGACCAGCCACTTGAGGGGCCTTGTGTTTCAATCTTGGGCACTTTAGAGACCATCTACAACAACAGAAAAAAGGGGTTGTTTCTCTCACACCTGACCTACTCCCACAACTGATGTCGTACTTGCTACCACACCTACAACGACACCCACTGCTACACCTATTGTCGCAGCCACACCTGAGCATTAACTAATAGTTCGAGTCACACTTGCCGCACCCACTTTTTGCACTACCTCCTACTTGGGCTCAAACATCCTCCTCTGATGAGCCTGACCACTCGACTCCCATCCTTGTGAGGTTACAATCCTGTCAGAGAGTCTGACTCGTAAGTTTTATTTAACATTATATTATGTTCCTTACTTATTCTCAATATTTATGTAACTAATTTTTCTTGTCCATATTCATCAACCATAAGCTGCTCGTTACATGCATTACATAGGTCATCCAGAGCATATACGATCATTTGTATCTCTCTTGGAAGCATATCCCCAATGCTATTAGTGTCATGTGGTTCTCAGAGTTCAAGGTTGTATCATTTAATTCAAATTAGAATTGTAATTCTGATTCATTTTACAATACAAATCAATATGCTTATTTTTTATGCTGCAGAGGTGCTTAAGTTGACTGCCAGAGCATCGCCACCAAATTGGCCAAACTTTTGAAATTCGTGACAGGCGTTGATTGGGTGACATGTTCACCACAACTCACAGGAAGGGGAAGTTGTTCTCATGAGCAAGGATACACACACACACACACACACACACACACACATACACATCTCTGTGTGTGGGCGCACGGACGGGTGCAAAATCTTACATTTTAGATTAATTTTTTAATTAAATTGATTTAAAATTTAGTTAATCTAAGGTTCAAATTTATATGATTTGGATTCTAGTTAATTAAAGTTTAGGTTCGTGATAAGATTAATTTGAGTTGAATATTTAAATATTTTAAATATAATTATATTTAAAATTCTAAGTTAAATTTTAATTTTTATTGGATGAGATTTGAATTTTAAGTTAAATCAATTTTAAAATTCAAGTTGGGTCCACTTTTAATTAATCTTCAAGTTAATTCAAAATTTAAATTTTAGATTTTAATTTATTTAGTTAAGTTGATGTTGAATTTAATTTTGATTTTAATTTTTAATTAGATTTAAATTTAAGTTTAAGTTGACTTTCATTTTAATTTGTAGTTTGAATTAACTAACTCGAGCTCAAATTTGTCAATCAAAACATTTCTAAGCTATCCCAAGATCCTACTCAACCCACCGATGGGCTTGACTTAGGCCAACAAGACTAAGCCAGTGATAAGCTAACCACATAGGGTTTCTAAGAAGGGAATCCTAGCCTCCTAGGCCCGGATGGAAGATACTTGGAAAACAAATTAATCAAAAATGAGGCCAACAAGATGAAATAAATTTTAAAAAATTAAAATACATAAACTCTGTCAAAAGGTTTTATAGAAATTTGTAGCATTTACAATTACTTTTTCTTTCGAGCACTGATTTCTATTTAATTAAAAAGAAAAATTTATAAAAAAAATTACTGTTTTGTATCAATGTACTTTTAAAAGTTCTTATTCATAGAAAATCTAATAATGACAACACATATAATAAGAAAAAAAAACAATAATATTTAGAAAATCATTCCAATAATGGATGTTAGCATTCGAGAGAAGAAGTGAGGGAGTGAGAGAATGGTAGAGACTCAAAGAAATAGACCAAGCTTATGTCAATGCTTCTATGACTTGTTGGGGGAAAAAAATTGCGTACGTCAAGCGTACACGGGAGTTACGTACGTAAAATGGTATACGGTTGTTACACAGGGGTTACACGGGGATTACAAGGGGTTATAACCCCGTTGTACCTCCCGTGATACTCCCGTGTAACCCCGCTGTAATCTTGTAACCCAAATGGATAAAATAAAAGCGCGGGTTACAAGTGAGTTACACGAAAGTAACAAGGACGTTATAACACGCTCATAACCTCCATGTAACCCCCGTATAACGTCTGTGTACCCTATTACGTACACATCTCTGCGTAAGATTGACGTAATCAATTTTTTTCCCTTGTTGGGCCAGACTCTAGTGGAGCTCATGATCCTCCATTCTTATTTATGACTATAATTTATATATGATGGATGGATGGATGGATGCATAATGATTGCATGAAGTAAAGAAAGTATAATAAAGTTACATAAAGAGTACATCCGATATTAGACATATCTTCCGACCCATGCAGAGCCACAATGTCTTCCAAAGCTTAAATTATTTTATAACATCTTTGATATTGATTAATAAGACAAGCCAATGAAGACAATGACTCAATAAGGGGTCAAGCTTATTGATGTCCAATTATCCGTGACATGGCACAAAATGTTCATTGGTGAATTATGGGTTTTGCCTTTAGACAAATTTATCAGAAGCACTTGACATTGACTCGTGCGGAATAGTAATATCTTACTCTATTTAAATAGTTCAAAGATAAATTGTGACAAGTTAGCAACAATTAAACTAATAAGAGGCTTTGATCTAAATTTACTTGTCGACCCGCTCTGTTGGTTGGCAGGTCTAAGTAGACATATCACTCACTACCTTAACAAAGTTTCCTCACCACTTAGCCAATCTATTTTGATCTATCAAGCTCTTTGATTGTGCATACAAATATGAATATATAAGTTGCATTATGAACTCTTGTTAATCTCAATTCAATTTAATATTTGACAAAATGAATTTTTTTTTAAAAAAAGCGACATGGAAAACACAATTAATTATGATCTTCAAAATAAAAAAAGCATGCCATAAAAATAAATGCCAAAAAAAAAAGGAAAAATAAAAATTTCTCATAAAATTTTCCTCTACACGTCCATTAAATATGCATTGAGATCTTTATAAACAAAAACTCTGCAAACATAACATAGATCTGAATTCAAGATAAATGAGATAGAGTTATTCATTCCTAATGCGAGCATCCATAAGAAAAAGATTTCCTTTCAGTTGTTTATTGGATGTAAGACAGGCCTGTGATGTCGAGATCACGATCGCCGGTGGAAGGAGGAGGTTTGTGCTTCGGCTCCGCCGGCCGGTCCCAAATCCCATCGGCGCTCTGCGTCTCGCTCGCCGGCGGCTTCCTCATCTGCCCCTGCCCGCCGTCTTCGACGTCGTCCTTGCCGTACATTCCGCCGCCGTAAGCCTCGTGTGTAACGGGTTTCATGTCGGAGATATTTGGCGGGTGACTCGATGTGCCGCGCTTCTGTTCTTCCATTTTTCCTTTCGCTTCGCTCATTGCTGCTTCGGCTTGTCGGAGAAGACGAACGAATTGGGCTAACTACGGATTATTATCTGCATTCGAAGCGGGCGAACCAATGACGTTTCCTAAAGCCGACGCGTGTCTTCGGGGCGCCACGTGGAGCGAAGGCCAACCTCCGCACCGAACGGATTGGTATAAGCCTTATTTATTTAATATTTATTTATTTATTTATTTTTTGGGATATCAGTTAGTGATTTTATAATATTTATCTGTTATAAAATCTGACACGGCGCATCTCGGTATAGACTTTGCTGGTTTGAATCGCATACTTAATTTTGTAAATTTTTCTGAGTTATGTTTGGGCGGTGAAATTGAGTCGACTCGTGTGTCGACTCGTGTTTAGCTCAAAAAATGGCTGAGGAATCCAATTTGATGACATGATAAGCCAAAAACTAATCTCCAGCTGACTCATTTGCTCGGGAGCATGTTCATTTAAAAACATTATCATTGATGTCATCAACACATTTTTCACAATTAACACGAATCTCGAGATATGACACAAATCTCGAGATAATTTTTTAGCATAAAAATTTAAATTTTGATTAAATTCATCTGATTTCAATAAAATTATATTCTAACTTACCGACTCGATGAGAGGGAACAAATGATACCAAAATCGGTTTAATCTGAGACAAGTTAAGCCGATCAAGTTGTTAAACTACCTTAGGAGGCTTTTGAGACATAATTGGAAAGTCAAACATATGTTGAATATGACGTGTTTATATTTAAATCAAGCGTTTTGACAAGTCGAATCCAACAAGCACAATATCGCTCAATTCTAATATCATTAGGACACTTAAATGTCCGACGAACACCGTCCGATCAAATTGATATTTTTGAGTCGTCTGATCAATAGTGGTATGAAGACTTTTATTATTTGTAACATGGACTCTATAAAAAGAGTTATGCACCCCTCATGAGAAGGGGACTAGACCTTTGGTAAGATGAGGAACAAAACTTGCATAAGTGAGAGTTGCAAAACAGCATCCTGTGTCATCACCTCCAACCACAGCCAACCCCAGTCAACTTCAGTCATCGCCGCCTCCAGGTCACTCCGACCACCGCCACCAACTCATGATGTCGCCCCCTCGTCTACCAAACCCTTTTTCAGTCGTCGTCGAACACCATCGTCCGCTGCTCGATTCTTGTAACGGAAGAATATACAAAGTAAGTATCATCTTGTATAACACGTCAATATAGAATACGATGCAATGACACACCACCTGGAGAAGGTGTAACAATGCACCCCGAAGTTATATTTCTACATACTATGACTTTTGTGGTCAATCAACGCTCCTAAAGAAACCATCTACATCCCCCGTGGCTTACAACTACAATCTCTCCGACGAGCTAGTGTAACAACCTTTGTCCACACCATTTAGGACAGGCTACTGCTTCCACAGTAACTAACTATGACTCTTGTAATCTGTTGCTGCTTCTTCATTCATTACAACCAGATTACAACTATTAATAGTGAACTACTATTGTACAACTTTGTAATCTTACATTCCCTAATTCAGGAGAAGAGTAGACTTATGCACTAACCATTCATATTGGAACATTTCAACTTAGCCAAACTTTGTGATTTTTTTTCTCATTTTAGGGTTTTCCATGTAATCGATGTCTCCTCTTGCTTACTACTCTTTAATCATATAAGTTTGTGATGGATTTTCTTGCAATGTTAAGACAATAAATCACTACTTTGCCACGCAGACTTCCCGACACGCATCAATTATATAAAACACTTAAAAATTATTAGTATTCAATAAATATAGTCTGAATAATTCAAAAAAATATATTTCAATTGCATGCATAAAGTGATTTCTTGCTATAATTGTTTGGTTGACTGAAAAAAAAAATCATTGTGATATGAAAGATTTAGGTGGTATAAATGTAAAAAAAAATTAAATTATCACTCTTAAATATGTAAATATATAAGCATTGGCTGGTATGCATGCAAATGCCCATGAAAAAATTATAAAAGATTTCCGAACACTTTTGGGTTCAATAGAAAAATTATTATAATAAGTTTTTTATATTTTAATTTCTAAATATTATTATTATTCAAATCATTGCTAATACAAAATACTAATATTAATATTACAATTACAGCTACAATTAATTTCCAAACATTACAATAATAAGAATATTACTATTAATCTTATTATTAATATTTTAAGCTTTTTTTTTAAAAAAAAAGATTATTTTATTCTGCTTTACTATTACTACAATTATTATTTTATTAATAATATTATTTTGTATATATTACTATTCTTATATTGAATTATAAAATACTAGTATTATCTTATATTTTCGGTTTTCTTTCTTACTTAATAATTAATAAGTAAAAAAATTAAAATTTAATATAAAAAAATACATATATAAACAGTTTTCTTATAATGTATTACCGGTAAGAATAATAATAATAAAAATGTATGCTAAGTTAACATACTCTTATTTGTCCCATTAGAGCAATGCAAATGTGTTATCATCTCATTCCATCCTGTTAACGACCTACGCGAGCAGTTACCTCTTTTTATGACATGTGTAAAATGAGGACATATATTTCCAACCGCAACAAGTCCTTATTTAAATAAATCGCTAATATGTATTAAATATATGTAAAATACCCTTTTTTATTTTGTAATTTCCTCCGAAAACTGAAAGGGTGCGCTTCCTTCGACTTCGCCCATGGACGCCTCAACCTCCAAACCTCCTCCTCCTCCTCCTCCTCCTCCTCCTCCTCCCATCTTCTCCCCTTCCTATCATCCCCGCCGAGTCACGCCACCAAAACCGCTAGCGGCCGCAGCAAAGCCACGGGGCAGGAGAAAGCCAGACTACTCCGGCCAGCCCAAAGTCTCTCCGCCGTGCACTGAATGCGGGAGGCGGTTCTCCTCTTGGAAAGCTCTGTTCGGTCACATGCGCTGCCATCCGGAGCGGGCTTGGCGGCTTGGCGAGGAATCAACCCCCCGCGGCCGCAGCAACCCCTGCGAGCCCAATTCTCCGACGAGGAATACCAAGTCGCCGCTACCCTTCTCGTACTAGCCAACGGTCCGCCGCTCGAAAGTCCTTCCCGTGAACCCAACGGCGCCGTCATTATCCCCTCATTGCCTTCTTCTTCCTTAGATGATTCAATTGGGAGGAAGAAAGGAAGGAGCTTTGGCACCCATTTTTCTCCTTCTTCCTCTTCGACACCTTTTGGCTGTTCGCAAGATCGTGATTGCTTGCTTGATTTAAACATGCCGCCGCCATTGGAGGCTGCTGAGGGTGGAACCACTCCTGTGTTGGAGTTAAAGCTCGGGATTTGAGTACTCGAAAGATTTGGGTTTGGCATTTTATAATAAATATGTTATAAGTGGGTTTTTTGTTTTCTTTACCGTGCAGTATCTCTGCTCTCGGCCAGCCAAGCAAGGTGGGATTGGGCTGTTTGGATTTTTATAGATGTTGTACAGTGAAATATACATGTTGAAGTTGTTTCTTTTTTGTTTTTTTTTGTTAAAATAAGGTTCTGTTCTTGTATATTTCTTGTGAATAAAGTTTTGTTTGGTAGGCTATGCTTTATATCAACAATCCCAACTTTCTCTATGAAAGTTGGCATTCACTGTTCTTTCTAATATGTTTTTTTTGTCACTGTTACAGATCATATGATTCATTCTGAAAGGTTTTCATTTTCTTTGATTGTTTGACAAGTGAATATTGTCATTTGATATTAATTTTTCTCATATGTCAATTTTTGGAAAAGTTTTCAGGTGGTTTAAAGTCTTTTATGTTCATAAAAGCATTATTGTATTTATTCAACAGTATTTGAAATAACTAATGAAGTAGTTCCTATTTCTATTTATATAAAAAAAAACGCTATATTTTTTTTTAATAAGAAAGATGGTATTTGTATAGATGCATTAAACAAAATTTGAATCAATATTTTTTTAATATATTCATTTTATTGAATCTTGATTTGTCTATGGATTCACTTCTCAATGTAGTTACTAAGGAAGAAAAGAAATAGGGATATAACATCCAGGGAAGAATGGATATTTCAATACTTGGTTGTTGCATAGATCTTTTTCTATTTATAGAGCATTCCCCTAAGTTGTACAAATAGGTTGTTCTTATGCAGTTCTCTAGAGATCTCTAATTCTTCACTTTTGTCTTCTTTTGACGTTCATATAATAATTAATAGTATTTATGACATTTTATCTTCGGTTAGTGCTGTTTTTCATCTGTTTCTAATACGTTCATCACATCCTTGTAAGTTTATTTAGAACATTGGGACACTATGTCTATTTGGTCTTGGAGTAATTTGTGTTGCCTTTGATAGCATATACCCCATATGCTATAGAGTTGATTAGGTTGCTTCGTCGAATGAACAACCCCATAGACCATAGAGCTGATTAAGTAGCTTCGTCGAATTGACGAGTTGAGTTCGATTTATGGATGAGTAATGCTCACTTGACAGTTCATACTCGATGGCTCGTCGAACTTGGTTAGACAGCTGAGCCGAGGAGTTTGTGGTGTGTCATAGTGTGTTATCTAGGTCTTGGGCTTGATTTCAGTAAGGTTGGATTTTGGCTATACATATTTCACTCGTTGAATATAAGAAAAAAAATGAAAATAGTCTTGAGTAGATTTGTTTGGAATTGAAATTGGACGTCCTTAAGGGCAAAAAATATTACATACTGACAATCGGACGTACGAACGACGAACATAATATTTTCTCCATGAAGGGACATGTTATTGATCATTTTTTTTAAAATCTATATCGTATTGGCATTAAATTATAGGCATGTCTATTATCAAATAGAAATTTATAATTATTATCTAAAATATATTGGCATTAAGTGCTTTAAAATTTAATCTAAACTATACATCAGCAGATTGTTATCTCTATTTGAAACGTGAAAAAAATAAATAAATAAATTACCAAAAAAGATGTAATATTAAGATTCACAAGAATCTTTAAATGGAAGAAATTTTATCAAACAAATTTATCAAATAATGTTGTTAAAATATATAAATTCTCATATAATGTTAAGATGATAAGACATTATTCTAACGTCAAGAATCTTCTAGCACGATCTAGTAATAATAATATAGAGTTAAACTATTTTATTTTATCAAATTTGAATTTTTTTTGCACGAACTATATGCATCATTCATTGATGTTCATATTTCGTTAAACATATACTATCTTTTGATTATTCACAAACAGTATTACTTTGTTTTTAAATCTTTTAAAAATCTTTGGCATCCACTTTGTGAGATTTATAACTTCTTGATATACAATTATTTGTTAAAACAAATGTCCGATATAGAGTAGGTGTCAAAGTAGTCTCCTTGAATTTATAATTGTTTGAACTTGATTTGTGGTTGATTTACTTTTGACAATTGAACGAGTATTTAAATGAGACAGAAAACAAGTTAAAAATTCGAACAAGTATCTAAATTTTCATATAAAAAATATTATAAATAATTTTACAAATTTAAATAAATAGACAATTAAATAAATCATATTATTAAATAAACTAACCTACATGTTGTCATCTAGTGTCTATAATCTATATATTCTCATAACAATGAATTCTGAGATAGAGAAAAAAAAATTGAAATAAGAGCAAGAAAATCTAAATAAATTAATATTATAAAGTAACTCATAATCTGAACCATTCATCAATCACAAAAATAACTGGAAAAAATTAAACGAGAGATGGATCAAGCATGATATAAGATAATGACAAAAAGTGATGTTCACTTTGAAAATTTCATCATGTTAATTTTCAAACAGTGAATAATTAATAATAAAATAATTATATAATTAATAATTATGCTAAAAAAAATATTGATATGATATTACATTACTTTTAAATATATAATAAATGAATTCTAGCTAATCAAATTGATTTAAATAATATATCATATATGATACAAGCAATATTCAAGCTTAATATTAAGTATTTTACAAGTTACTTGCTGGAAAATAGATGAATTTTTTCGTGAACGTAAATGAATATGTTCGACTATGTTCGTGTTTAGTTCATTGAATTTTCGAGTTTTTAAAAATTATTTAGGCTTGTTTATATAGTAATTTAAACGAACTTGATCAAGTCTTGATCTAGCAAAGTTCTAGTTGTTCATCCAGTGCATCGGTTCATTCACAACCCTACAATTACATTATTACCTCTTCTCCAATAGCAGTTAAAGGGTATAACATGAGGAGCAGGAGAAAAATGATTTTGTGTTAGCTAAGAAAGTATTAAGAAATAATGTTTAGGGATCAATTGTCCATCCCTTGTGATGACTGATGAATGCTATCTTTTTAGCATTAGATAGTTTCATCTTGATTTGATTGTACTTGGGAGAAAGTGTACAAAAACTCATTATCTAGTAGGCGACTACATTGTCGACGAGTGTATCAACCGGCAGCAATGAGTAGCTCTCTTCTGGGTCGTCTTAAAATTAGTGAAGTTGACGTGCATCCCTACTCCTATTTGATTTGGGCACTATCACATTTTCTCAGATCCAGCATGAACATTGCACTTCCTGTTGTTGTCAGCATCCAATGAATTCTAGTAACGACGACTGAGCACACCTTCTACTTTACGGGTCATGGCATAGGAGAAGAAATTGAGTCCGAACGACGCATGTTCGGAAGATAGCTTGGATCGCGCTATGCCTCTCTCCAGCGGCGTGGTGTGATCCACGCCATCACCCGGATGAACAAATGTTGGGACGTAATATTTTTTTCTCATAGAAAGTCACACGAATTATTATTGTACTCCCGACGTCATCAGCATAAAATTCATTATTTTTTTTTTATCTTAGGACAAATCATATTGTCTTCTAACATTTAAATTTCTGGAGCAAATTGAGTCCTCTGCCTTTAGTAAGCAAGTCTTTCAATGCCATTTGATCTAAAAAGAGTTTAATAACATTATTCTTTTTGGGTTAAAAATACTTCTGCTTGACTCAAATTAACCTTTCTAAGCAGAGTTCGACAAAATAGCATAAATGTAATTACATAAAGGGGCTTTTACATACATACCACCCAATTCACATATACTTACATATCTAACATCAAAATTTTGTTTGTACATTTATATTATCCAAATAGTTGACATCACATTAAGAATATCACAATTTTAATCTTTTAAAAGGGAGCTATATATGTTTAAATTGAAGTTCAGCTGTTTGATATGTAAATACATAAAAATTGTGTTATGGTATGACTCATATACCATATAGGGACAAATCTCTATTTATTTCTATTCTTAAATTAGAGAGATTAGTTGTCTCTTATATTTTGTTATTATCCCTTTCCTTCTCTACTCTGGATCGAAGCGGAGCAAAAGAATCTGTCCAAATTGGGAAGTTACCCTTTCCTTCTCTACTGCATTATGCTTTTATTGTTTTTCTTACCAGTAAGTCTTGTAATGTGTATTTATACCCATCTTTTCATCAATAAAATTAAGTCATCTCATATCTTTTCAACATCACATTAAAAATATCACAATTTTAAAATTGAAGTTCAGATGTTTGATATGTAAATACATAAAAATTGAATGCTATTTATGTAATTCTTCTTTAAATAAATTATAAAGATATTATATATAATTAAAAGAAAAAGAAGACAGGCACTCTACATAAACATAAAATTTATTATTCTCAGAAATAAAGTTATCATCATCTCATTCTAAGAAAATTATTACATTTTCTCAACAAAGAAGACAGGCACTCATACATAAACATAAAATTTATTCTTCTCAGAAATGAAGTTATCATCATCTCATTCTAAGAAAATTATTACACGCTTCCACAACTTTAGGAAACTCAAACTGCATGGACGTGACCATCATGTCTACCATTATATAATAATTAAACTTAACTGCTCTTATTTATCTAATATGTAAGTATTAGATAAAAACTCCTTCAGTTTCTAAATGTGGTCAAAGCATGGGTTGAGCCGGGATCGGGTCAACATACTCCCAACCGAAAGGTTCCTGATTATAGCAGTCCAAATTGTTCCCCATATCTGTGCCCAATATGTGACAGTAACGCTCATAGAAGCCTATTCGGCTGGCAGCTCGACTGTCGTAGCCATGACCACACTCCCCTCTGTTGACGATATTGGTGATGACGCCGAAGCCTGGCAGGCGGCCCGCCGCAGTATCGTTGCTTGAAGGGATCCATTGCCCGGTGATCACGTCGTGACATGATGGTCGCGGCGGCTGCGTTGTCATCCAGAACCACATTGCTGTCATGAAGGCGATCGTTGCGTTCTTCTTCACTGTGTCTGGGTCGTTGAGCAGGTCCAAACCCAGATATTGCCCGGCCCGCCCGTAGTTGAAGTTCCTGAGTATTTCTTTCAGTTAGAGGCTTGAGAGAGTTCTTCATCGCTTGGCTTTCATCTTATTATTATTATTTTATTTCTTAAAAGTTAGATATATGATAATTTTGATGTGATATATCAAAGATTTTGGTGGTATAAATAATTAAAGTAATGTTTAAATGTTGAACATGTAAATATATAAAATTAGATGGTATGTATGTAAATGCACCAAATTAGAGAGAAATTACCAGGTGAGTTGAATTGGGCCGCGACCATGGTATCTTTTGCCTGCGGTACAGGGATATTTGACATATGTGGTGTTGCAATAGATGGACGGTGGAGATAGTTGTTCGATCCAACAATATCCCCAAGAGTATTTCCCATCAGGTGCACCACTCCAACCACCAATTTTCATGAAACAATCAATTAATACATCTTATTAAAATAAATGATTAATATCATGTTATATATATATATACACCCAGATAAATAAAACAAGAATAAACAACGAGCAGAAGATATTATTAAAAATTATTCAGAGGACTTAACGAATTTAGATATGCAGTCTAATATGATGGAGCTTCTTACATATTTGAACTCTTTAAAAACTTACTTATTTCAGAACATGCATACTCACAAACAATATAAGTCTATTATTTATAGCCTTATATTACATACATAATAGATTTGTAAACTGAAAATGGTAAATAACAGCAGTCCACTATTATTAGTGGAGAAAAAAGAGCAAAAGTTGAGAGTAATCCGTCAACAATGTCATGGGTGAGAGAAAATATTACATCCGGACACTGGATGTTCGGAAAACGGCCCAGATGCAGCGGCGTAGGGGAGGAATCGGACCTCCGCCCTCCTCGCTGCATCCGAGCCGTTGTTCGGATATCCAGAGTCCTAATGTAACATTTTCTCCATGAGTGGAGAGAATAGTTCTTAGTGAAATGACACTACATCAAACATTTATTGGTGGGTAAGATCCACAAGTATTAACAACTGCTAATAGACGTCAGCTGACTGTTAATACGTTCCTCCGTCATTTCCTCCATTGGATTTTGACATTTGATCACTTGGACCATAAGGAGTAATTTGGGCTAGCCCTTCATCTGTCCAATCTTTTGAATCTCTCATGGATTTATCGTTGCTATTTTTTTTTGGATGAGTGGTGTCTGATAGATTTTCATAAACTATTCATCACAATTTTAAATCACTCTCTTTCTAATTTGATCCATTGATTCATGAGCATGTTTACGCCTAAAAGTATAAAATATATCTTCAAAATAAATCTCTGTAAAATTAGTTACAGGGTTTTGAGTGGCTTCATATTTTTTAAGAATATTATTAATCTGCTCAAGTTTTTCTTTTTCATTAATTTAATGTCACCCTTTATAAAAAATTATCGTTACAGACATAACAGATTAAACTGTTATTTTCCTGGACAATTTTTTCAAGGCCAGATCCAATAAATTTGATAGTCAATAAGGAAATGAGCTAAAGTCTATCCCTTGGCCAAATCCTCATTTTTTACATCTTTTAATTTTGGGTATAAATCAACCCAGAATTCGTACATGCATATTTTTTTTGTTAGGCACAATATCTAATTTTGCACCGACATAATTCAACCCTCTTTATTTAAAATCCGCTATATAAAATGATTTTGTCATATCATTTACCTAATTTCAATAATTTACTCAAATGCATTGTTGTATATTAGATGATAGAAAAAAATTCTATCTTGATATGAATTAAGTCTCTAATAATGATGATAAATAATGTTTTGTATAACAAATTTACTGCACAAACATGTTGAATTGCTTCATGGAGGCTATGGTGCATATCTATACATTTTAATTGAATTAATATTTTTTCATAGATCTCTCTTGTGAGATGGGATTCATTAGAGAAAATTGTTCTTTCCAAATATATTTCTAGCGAAAAAGGTGTATACTTAATGTGGCTATCTTCTATATTAATTTCAAGAATACTTTGTTTGAGCTTCTTAATAGTATAAGATGATCTAGGTGTGGAAGAAGTTAGTACTTATTTTAAAGTTGTAGGCTCTGATGAAGCATGTGCCTTAGATGTTTCTCCTTGTTCTTTTTTAGGAGAAATTCCATATAAATATTCTCTTAGGTCAAGTTCACCTTTAGGAAGGTAATTTCCTTCAATATAGATGGACTTATATAATTTCTAATTCTTGGGCTCTTACTCCTCTAATAGAATTTAAAAATTGTCTTACATTTGTAAAATATATTCTCTAATTACACGTACTATAGCATCTCTACCATGAGCACAAAATGTAGATTTGGGAGAAAATATTTTTCCTCCTTTCACATATTTTATTTTTTTTATGTCCTCTCCTAATCGAAGTTAAACACCATCCTACAATTGCATAATATAGTTCATCATTGTGCTCTAGTATATCTCTACCAAAATGAATATCTCGTAGCTATAGTTATTATTGTTTCTGAAGACATACAATCTTTGTGGTGGGGGTTTGATCTTAGCATTGCACAAGTGAATTTAATCTTGTCTCCTTGTGCGCATTTAAACTCCACGACAGTGGAGTACGCAAGTTTGTCATTTAAGCTCAACACAAAAGTTCCCCACATAAACAAATGAATAATAAAAAGAGAAAAAGTCCCAAGATATTTTCAAGAAAATCTAACCAAAAGAGAAAAATCATGCAACTAGCTTAGGTAAGATAATCCACTTTGTTCATTCAAATTAAAATAGTTCACTCTTCCATTTAATTATTGAAGATGAGTATAACGTTATGTGCTTCATATTAGCTTGCTCTCTAATGATTTTGATGAAAGTAATAAGAGATGAAGATAAAAGTTGAAAGAAGTCAGTCAAGAGAAGATCATCTGGTTATGACAATTGAGTGATGATGATGCAATGATGGTCAAAAGATGATGATGAAAATCAGATGTTGGTGATCAAATGATGACAAACGAGTTATGGTAGTCTGATGATGGTAATTAGTCGATAATAGTTGAACAATGACAATTAATGGTGGACAAAGAGTGACAGCTAAATAGCAGTGTTGTATAACATTATTTGGATGATGATAGTCAAATGACGGTGGTCGATTACTAAAAATCAGAAAATGGTGATAGATGATGACGATCGGGTGATAGTAGCCAAATGATGGTGATTTGGTGACAATGATTTGTCAATAGTAATTGGGCAATCAAAGTCAGGTGATGAAGGTTAAGAGATAACGATCAGACAACGATAATCCAACAATTGAGCGTAGATGACAGTGACCATTAATTATTATCGACATTAAACATCAACTAGAGCTCTAAGATTCTTTAGATCTACAAACTCAAGTGACCGTTGGTTGTTTTATATAAGCTCATTTGGGCTCCAAATTTGATCAATTTTGATGTCTTGGTTTTATTTCATCGAGTCACTAAACTTGACTATGTCTTTACATTTGCTTGAATCACTGCTCCAATTTAAAAATTAACTCTCAAAATTATTTTATCGAAATTACATCGAGATCCATATCTTATCAAATTGATTTCTTCGGTAATATACTAATATACACTAATGTTAAAAGTTTAAATGATAAATTAGCTATAAGTACGATTGAGTCCCTTCTTTAAATATAAAGTTTTGATTAATTACTTGTAGTCATTTGATGGGAAGAGGTGGTGCATGCGGCCTACCTCTGGTCTCATGAGAAGTCTGGCCGAAGAAGGCCGCAAGTTCTCGCCGGCAAATGTCGAGGGTGCCGGTTCTTCCAAAGCCGGGAAACACCTCTGCGGCGGCGATGAACGCATCGTAAGTGTAGAAGCTGCCGGGGCACCTGAGATCGCCGCGGTGTTTAAGCATTTCCTCGAACATCTGACGGCTGATGATTGAGCTCACGCTCTCGCATGGCCCATCTGCTTCCCCTGTTTCCGGCGGCCCGAAATGACGGAGAAACGAGGCCAAGAAGGGCAACAAGAGCAAGGCTAGAGCCAAAACTTTCATCTTTAATTGCTTGATTATTGTAGCAGCTAGCTAGTTTTGCTTGATCTCTGGTATATATGGGCGCATGATGATGGTCGTAAGTTCGCCGGAGAAAAATATAAACGATTTTCACGAGGCTGGCGGTCATGGATGGTTACGGGAGATTTGAAGGAGGATCCGATGATACGATGATAAATTAATGATCGATCAAATTTGTTCAAACTATCCAATAAAAAACGTTTTGATATTTTTCAAAAAATTAATGGTTGAATAAATCAGGGCTGGACTTAGTTGGGATTTAACCACTCCCAAATTCAGATTTTTTTACTTTTTAAGAGAGAGCAATTTGGTTACCCCTAATCTAAGGTTGAGTCTAATCAAAATAATTAATTTGTGCTAGGAGACTGGATGATAGAGAAAAGTAAATTTACAAATAATACATAATTGATATATTTTAGTATAGTTTTATTATTCATTAGTAGAGGTGTAAACGAGCGGAACACCAGCGAGCCTGGATCGACTCTTGTATGGCTCGTTAAAAAATATCAACATTTGTGTTCGGCTCGTTTATATTAGAACATAAAATGTGTGCTCGTGCAAACCGAGCATGAACACACATTTTGTGTTCGCGAGCCGAGCACGAGCTGTTCACGAATAAAGAGTCGTTTTGAGAACCTCAATCACGCAACTGTAGGATGTTGGGGGCTGGGGCAATATTTAAATCTTATTAATTATATTAAATTATCATTTAAATATCATTTAATATATTTTTATTTTATTTTTTTAATTAATATATTTAATTGATTATAAATTTGTATAGCTTTGTAGTTAATTTATTTTTTTTTTTAAAATGCAAAGAATAAATAAATTTTTGTTCGTGTTCGGCTTGTTCATATATCGAGCATAAAAAAAAGTGTTTATGCTCGGCGTGTTTACTTAGCAAACGAATCGAACACAATCTTTTTAACAAGCCGAACACAGACCTATTTTGAGAGCCCTATTCATTAGCTTTATTTTACTTGAATTTGACTTTGTGTGGACCATACATCTCTGATAAAAACTAAAAACGAGATGTGTGGTATTATCAGTAAAAATTCACTAGTTCTATTGTGATCATCGTTTTGATAGTTTGCTAATCAGCTCACTCTTTGGGTCAAAATAAGGTTCTATCCTAAATAATTGGTTATGTTTCTATGGACACCCAAATTTTCTTTGCAGTTGTTTAGGGTTTTGGCTCCCATAGCAATTCCAAAACATATGTTTACATCATGTCAACTAAAGTAGGACATAATCATAAGTGCAAAACAAACAAACAAAAAATTTCTTCAACATTGTCTTCCCTAAGAGTTAATTAGATGACATTATTAATATCTCCCTTGAGACAAAAATAAGTTTTGTTTAGAATTCTAATTACTTTTGCCCATCATATTAATCCTTTCCATTATTCAGATTATTATTTTTTTATTTACATAAAAATATTAGCAAAAAAATTGATGTTAATTATAGAAATTATAAATCAACTACAAATAGATATATTAAATTTAAACAATATAATAAAGTAATTATATGCTTGAATTTGAAAGTTTTCCCGCATGAATTTATGAAAAAAATAAATTTGATAAAAGCATGTGTTATGGTATGACTCATATACCATATAGGGACAGACGCTGGAACGAAGCGGAGCGGAGCGGAAGAATCTGTCCAAAACGAAAAGTTACGTTATGTGGGTTGGGGGTGCTGGGTCAACGCCTCGCTATACGGTACAGGAGAAATTTGAGAATTACATATTGTACTGTAGGATTTACTCTAGGATTATAAATAGACTTGTTTGTAATCCTAGGTCTTTGAGAGAGTTGAATCTTGTATTATGTATTCTTTTCTGAATATTGAAAAGAAAGTCGCCGCTCTGCTCTCGAGGATGTAGGCATCTTTGTCGAACCTCGTTAAATCTCTATGTTATTCTGGATTTGTGTCGTTCTAGTTTTTCTTCGCCCTAATTTTCTCAAAAGCATGGCCATTAAAACCATTCAACATAGTGAAACAAATGCAAATAAATTAGAATTTTCAGGCAGTTCCAGCAATACATTAATATTGAATGAGTTTGATTTGATTTTTATTTTAGGAACCGTAATTAATGCTTACATTCTTCTATCTTTCGATCTTTTTTGTGAATTCATAGCCATCGCTTTGTTCTGCTATTCTGCACAGCTTATTCCGAAACCTATCTTGGATGAATTGTGTCGATTATTGATTTAATCTCAAATTTAAACTCCTTGTCAGGTTGTAGATTTAGAGGCACCTGTCAAATTTAAACTTCTTCCTTTTTGTAAGGAAGTTAACATACATACCACTAATTTCTTGTGTATTTACATATTAAACACCTATTTTGCTATTTACATTTATACCAATCATATCTTTCTAATCACGTAAAAAATACAACCGTTTTAACTTTTAAGAAGTTCTAAACCTAATTAAGCAAATCATGACACTATGAAAAGGACTATAAAAAAGAGTAAATCATAGCCTGCACTGTATTTAGAAATCATGGAAGAGAATGATAACATCATCGAAGTTCAGAAGTGATGGCTCTAATTTAAGTGGAGCCCTGTTAAATCTAATCATTCAACCACACGATCTTCAAGACATAAAAAAGAAAATGATATCAAGATACAACCTAAATAGCTGCCAGATTAAGCCTCCAATTTTGCGAACAGGATCCCTGGCAATTCATGCAGCCAAAGAACGTGACAACTTATCCAACGTTTTCTTATCGAACAAAAATCATATGGTAAGTCTGGATTAAAGCGCCTAGAAAGAGTTACTAAGCCACAGTGCACACTTGCATAGAGTTTCTGTTGCCTGGAAAAGACTAGTTTGAATCACGTGGCAACGTGGGAAGCTATCGGAGATGCAAAGAAGCCGGAAATGTAGAGGGAGGAGGTGAAGAGGTTGAGAAACCAGGCACAAACCAGGGACATCTTTCCAGAGTTATTTGTATGCTGTGATCGATCGACAGAGCTGCTCGAACCAGAATGACGGCGATCTAATTAGGCTGGAGACGGCGGCGTTTACGGAAGCCAGTTTGGTGCCAGTTTCGTAATATTAAAATTTATTTAACATGTGAGTCACATTCGAAAATACCAACATTTTGTGTGCAGCATATATAAAAACCCCTTTTATTAAACAATTCCTCCTCAAACTGAAACCGAACAGAGCGGT